GAACTTTTCAACACCACACTCCTACTTTCTGGTACAAGATCAATTCCTAGAAATTAAGAGTGTGAGAACGCCAACTATCACAGAACACTATTGGTATCCTACCACTAGCTTAATACGCTACTACTGTCTTTAGCTATTGTTTCTTTTCTGTTTATATAACATTCCCAATTAAGCAACTCTTCTTCCAGCATAATGACTTGTATGTGAAGGTGAAAAAACACCTATGAAAAAGACAACACTGAGTCTAAACTCCAGTTCTTTAACTTCTTGAAAATTCAGTTCAAGCCTGAGAAGGTTAACTAGCACAGTGACATCTGGCTACTTTTTAATGCAGTCATTTTTCCTATTGAAAGTTAACTGAAAGACTAATGAATTGACCTAAATCCTGCTAAAATCAGTACAATTTCTTCCACTGGTTCACCTGCATCTCCAAGTCAAAGGGAAATTTATTTTTTTTTACTGTCACACTATCTATACATTTAACAAGTCCATATTAACCTGAATTATTAAACTAGAAAATTTTTGTAAACTGTTTACTGCAGAGCACCCTTATTGGTACTGCTTCAACACTAGCATTTTGCAAGTAATTATGTACAGGCAGCATAATGAAGCCAAACATTGTATGTTACCTTGTGTTTATATAAGATAATTCCACCTAGAGGATATTCAATTCAATACACAATGCTAACTGCCAAGGCAACAGGATAAAACCTCTGTCAGCTCCCAGCTAAGGGAAAAGCACATTTCTGCAATTCAGCAACTCAGCCAACTACAGGCTGCTCCAAATAGTTCCTAAGACTCTTGACAGCTAGTCACATTTAACAGCTACAAATCAGCCATTTGCTATGGTGGTGTGGTCCTGAAATGCAAGGACCTCAGCTCTTTTTATTGCCCCTAGTTTTTCTGCTGTTTGAGAATGCTGCAGAGCTAATTCGTGAGTTTGGGGTGAATATAACATCCTGGGGCAAGTGTTACTCTGCGATGTGTCTCATCTTCCATAACTTCTTGTGCACATCACTGCAAACTGACAAATGTTCATAATGCTCATGGTACAGGTGTACAAGTATGGGCCTGATTTGTGCTCATCTTACAAAACATGACAAATTTGAGTAGCAGAGCTATTGAATTCAAAGAAAAGTATTGAATTAAAAGGAAAACAACTGCCACTTTGAACCGAACAAAGAATTTAATCCAGTTTTCATTTTATATCCTTCATAGTGTGGTACCAATAAATGCTAGATAAGAAACCTCATGCTCAGTTATTGAATCAGCGACCCCTGGTTTCTCTTACCTTCTCAACTAGATTCTGAAGTATTAAGTATTTATACTGTTTCTAAATCACAGCTGTGGTTATCTTCTGAAATATTATTCTAGATGCTTCACACAATCTCTGTAAAGATTTCATCTTTTCTTGTTACTTGTCTGCTCTTGGCAACTGCCTCAAGCTGGTTGTTAACAATTAAAAGGAAACAATTTCCTTTATATAAGCTATCAGTTGCATTTATTGGTACAAGAAGCAAATCAAACCACACAGGCATTAAGTGTAGTCCCTTAAAAGATCTCACCTGGAAGACCAGATCCAAGATTGGCAAGATCAGCAAAAGGATCAAAGTTCTGAGATTTAGCCTGGCTGAAAGACAGACCTGAAGACACACTGGACTGGCTCCCTGTGGTAAAAGGTTGACCTGTATAATAAGAAAACGTATTATGTACTTGGTGTATCTGGAAATTGAGAGAATGAATAAAAGTACTATTTCCACAATACCTCGTGTAAGCCTCCCCAGCTTTCTGCTCCATGACATCTTTTATCATGACAAGGATCACCATTACTATAGACAACAAACTATTTGGTTCCTCTGCCTTGAACTTATTCTGAAAAACCACACAAGTGCCTTACTGAAGGGGCATTTAAGCACAAAAGCATGGAGTCCTTTAAGCAACAAAGGAAAAAGGCATAAAGACACATTCAGCAGTTTCAGGTGATTAAACTGACCAAGTCTGGAGGGTTCCTTATACTCTCTAATGGAAAAATTTCATTTCATAATACCTTCAAAAAGAGGCTTCAACTGCGGTGATGCTACATTGCTGGTTGCTGAGGAATCTGCCCAAGAATCCCATCCACCTAAAAGATCTGGGTGGCTTGTAGAAGATGATATTTTAGGTGGGTCTGGTGTCAAATTCCCTACAGAAGAAAAAAAAAATCTTATGATTATTATTTTGAGAAAACCATCACAGTAATGGATATTTTGCCAATACCAATAGAGCTGTGTACCACATTGTCAGCTACAATGGCCAACTACATGGCTTGCTTCAATTTCTCCATAACACAATCATGGACTTAAACAGGACTCAGAAGGGTTCTACCACTGGAATTCCTTCATTTGTATTTGAAACATCCCATGCACTTCATAGAGAAGATATTTTCATGCACAGGCAATGCTATGAATTTAACAGCTTAGGTCTCCTGGGCAAAAGGACTAGCTAAGGGAAGACTTCAGGGCACACTGCTCCTGACAACACAGCAGGTAGCCAGAAAGCAGCAGTGCTTCATGAGATGGTGCTCTGTATCACTCAGCAGTCTGGGTGCTACACAGGTGGAACCAGGTCACTTCAAACTGCAAGTTTGCTTACCCCAAGCCTCATGTGACAAAGGGAGCTCTTGACAAACTAATAGCCTTTTTAGGTTCAATACATGAATGAATACATGCAATTAAAGAGCAGGACACAGGAAGAGTTCTCTCTTCTGGGAAAAGATCGAGACTCACTAGCTCCATGGATAAAAGCCGCTTTTCTGTGTGCAAAGCAAAACCACCATGCTAATTGAAAACAGACAATGAAACAGTTGCATTCAAAAGGATGCAAGGGTGCTTCCACTAACTTCTAGGAAGTGTCCCATCCAACATAGGGTTATAACTGCCACCCCTGATGCTTGCAAATGATTCCCCCCTTTCTCACTCACACACAGTATGAGGTGAGCCATCCTCAGAATGAGAGGTCCTAAATAAGGAACACCCAAAGCTGCATGAAGCTCTGAGCATTCCCTTTGACCACAGCTTGCAGAGACTCACAGTGAAGCAGGACAGCTTGGAATGCAATTGCCCCTTCAATGCTATGAAAACAGTCAGTGCTACAGGGAGACATGGTATTTCAGCAAAACCAGTATGTTTAGTGGTGCTTAAGACATTTCAAAGACCTAGCATTTGGAAAGCTAACCCAGCCACCCTTACAAAAATAGTGACATTTTGATGCTTTGGATATTTTGACTACTACCTCACAGCTTTTCATTTCCCTCGGCTTCTGAGCTTCACATTCTGAATATTGATACCGAACCACACAAACTATTTTATTTGAGGAAAGAATTTCAAGCAAATTAAATATCCCCTCCACCACTTCAATTCACTAATTCTATTTATACATAGATCTTACAGTTGCAAAGACAGCACATCAAATACTCTGCAACAAATGTCTGCCAAGAGCCTGTATTAGAACAGTCATCTCTGCTGCATGTGAAGGCAAACATCAGAATAAAATGCACGAAGTAGCCGCCAAAGTCTTCTGAAGGTATAGCACAATTTTCAGCCCTTTCTCCAGACTTAAGCCTCATCTCCCTGCCTCTGAAACCATGGAGAAACAGTATTTGCCTCAGTACTCAGGACCCCAGCGATCTGCTACACAGCAGTGTCACTGACTATAAATGTCAAAGTATCCGAAAGTGTCTATTTATCAGTTTAGACATTTACTGTACCATAAACCACTCCCAAACATTAAGGGGGCCTTGAATTAATATTAGTATTGATTTTTAAGCTGGAAATAATTTTGGCTTATGATCTCTGCTATTATAAGATTTTTACAGCAGCATGAGGAAATTTACAACCATTTACGGAATTAACACTTTTCCTATGATAAAACCAAGTTGAGAGAAATAAGAATAAAGTAAACTACAGCTCAATGTATTTGAAAGATTGAGAATACACTGTGGGAATCAGTGTTTTATAACTGCTGGTTTAAGAGCAGTCAAGTTCATCACCTCCCCCACTCTGAACAAAGCAAGGAGTAGCCTACCGCAATGTACAGCAGTAAATTCACTATGAATAGCACAAGCTCACATACATCCACTACATTTATCAGAAAAATCTGAAACAATGGAGTACAATGTGCAATATACTGAACAGATAAGACTCATCACCTCCTGGAACTGTTTATTCTTATGCTATAGTCTTTCTAGTTGTAGAACTTGGGAATCACAATAGATTTTAACACCAAGAAATAGAATTACCAACATGATACTCTGACTTCTACATATTCTGAAGAGGTGTGATGAGACCACATGCTGATTCCCTTATTTTTGTAACCTGGCACACTAGAGTTCATACAGATACATTAATGTAAAGGAGCTGAATACCTAAAGAAAGGGTAAAATATGAAGCATAGTTAAATATTCCAAAAGTTGAAGCAATTGAGATCATGGGCAAACAGATCCACACCTGCTTGTCCCTGAAGTTCTTTAATGCGCATATTTATAATCCTTAGCCATACAGTAGTAAATGACTGGAGGTCAGGGCATAGTTCTTTACTAACACTGCTCAAACCAAACTAAGATGTAAGAATAAGTTGGTGGTAATCAGATCACACTTTCCAGCTTCCCAAGAGAGACCTGCATTTTACTATATCCTACACACAACTTCACATTAGGTTTTCTTTATTGAACTTGTCATCTCTACAGGAAATCCTTTAAATCGCAGAGGACAAGAGGATTTTCTGTGAACCAAGAGGCTGGTTTAGTATGATGCAAGGTTTTTTTAACCTTGTCTAAAGCCTGACTGAGAACAGTCATCACAGAAACTAACTTCTACTCAGGAGACTACACTGGTCACTCAGGTTTCTTTTGATCACCTTTCAGATCTCCTGCTATCTTTTGATCAGATCAGTTCACGCTCAGAGGGAAATACATTCCTGACTCAACTTGCATTAGAGATGACCTGCTAGTTGCATATCCAAACGAACCAATTCTGTTCTCAAAAACGCTTACTGAACAGATACCTACTAAGGAAAAATGGACACTTCTCCAGCTACTGACAATATCTTGTTTTTGCAAGTGTGGCCACTTAAGAGCAGGTTATTGATTCTGAAGTGAACAGCCATCCCACCTACTAGCTTCTCTGCCAAATTACTACAGCTTTTCACAGCAAATTAAATTACCTTGTTAATACACTGCCATTTTAGCAGCAACACTTTCATATTACAGGATGGAACACGTTAACAGACCAGATATTCTTTAAGAACTACATTTCCTACAAATTGAAATTACATTTTAAAACTCCCAATATTAAATTTCAAGCGACATTGAGAAATACAAGTCTAAAATTCTCATTCTTGAACTTGTGTTCACTGAAACAGCTTTTCTCCTGGTATCTATAGAGGTTTAGTAATTGTTTACTATGGAAGAAAGTTTATCCATCACTAAAATTTAATTCTAGACACTTATTACTGCTCCAACAGTAGATTCACCATATCTCATGCTGCAGCTTACTTTGAATGAACACTGACATTACTAATTTATTTTTAGTTAAAATTGTCTCACTTTAATGACCTCGTGTTTGCACTTTCTTCTGCTCTCTCACAATTCTTCCAAATATGTCATTTAAGAACACGCTCTCATTTGCCCTTCCTTCTCCAGTTAGTTATCATGTCCTTTCACTCACACTCACTCATTCATATTCAAAGCATTATAGCTATTAATATTCCAAGCATTATAGCTATAAATATTCCTAACTTCCTTAGTAAAATTGATATCTGTGACTGGATGGAAAGCTAAAGGCTCAAATACATACTTCATTTCAGCTAAACACAAAAAAGCTGTAATTTGAAAGGTAAACTCAAAAGAACATGAAATGTTATCCCAATTCCTCCATTTCCACAGGGTTTTTAAAGCCTGCATAGCAACAGAAAAATATTGGGAAATCACTGTATAACAGTAGACTGAAGAGAGATTTTAAGTATCTTTTCCCTATGTTGACAGAAAGCTCCAGAAATTACATTAAAATAGCAGGTACACTAATGCTTTTACCAGGGTGCAAGTTACCAACCAAAATCGGAAAGAGTAAGCATAAAACCATAAGCATTGAAGTCGGATGTTAAAATGTATTTTCTTTTGTACTTGCTCAAATGTTACTAACAACTGAACATGGATGGTGGTCTCCTTGACATTGCAGGTAACCACGTAGAGAGCAGAAATTCACATTTATGTATTTTTCCAACTTAAATTTAGTACATAAAAGGCTTCTCTCATGTAGGGACTGGAGCACCTCTGATATAAGGACAGGCTGAGGGTGCTGGTACTGTTTAACCTGGAGAAGAGAAGGACTGGGGGTGGGCAATCTTATCAATGTGTCTAAAAATACTTAATGGAAAGAAATAAAGGCAACTGAGCCAGCCTCTTCTCAGTGCTGCTCAGTGGAAGGACAAGTGGCAATGGGCACCAACTGAAACACAGGAAACTCCATTTAAACACAAGATTTTTCTGGAAGAGTAGACAAAACACTGGCACAGGTTGCCCATAGAAGTTGTCGAGTCTGCATCCTTGGGAATAATAAAAATCAGCAAGGACATGGTCCTGAGCAGCCTGTTCTACTTGACTCTGCTTTGAGCAGGTCAACTGAACAATCTCCAGAGGTCCCTGCCTCTGGAGGAAGATAGATTTTGGCTGAGATGATGCTCCACAGATGAGTGTTGACCAAATCTTCTACTGAACAGAAAGAAATTACAATCTGTTTGATAACCTCATGCAGTAACAATAGCGTCATAACTGAAAGTGGCATAAGACTGGCAACTATGCAAATATACAAATAAAACATACAGCTGTTATTGTATCTATAGGACAGAACAAATATGTTGCAAAGGAAGCAGTGAGTGGGATGATATCAGCAGAATCAACCACAGCTGGAATATAACACCTTAATACATGGTGCAGAGGACAATCAGGTAGCCTTTTATTTCAAGGAGAAAGCCCTCATCTCAGCCAGGCAAACACTGCATCTTTTTTATGCTGTTTCTCTATAGCTCACACTCAGACTGCATCACCCAGAGGCATGGTGAACTAGACCAACTGTCCAACAAGGAGGGGCAACCCAAAACTGCACGCAATAAGCTCTGGGAAGAAAACACTTCTGGATTCAGGGTGAGGAATGTGATACCACCATTGCTAACTGCCTCCAATTTATAAGTGGGGGTCTGCAGGGGTGGCCTGGGCTGCTCTGTGCTGGACACAGCCAGCTCCATCAGACCCACCAGAGGGCACAGCTCCGCTGAGCTGAACCCAAGATAGTGCCACCTCTGGGAAAACATACGAAAGAAAGGGTAAAAAATGCTGCACAGCAGCTGTGAGAGGAGTGAGAAAAGTGAGAGAAGCAGTCCTGTAGACACCAAGGTCAGTGGAGAAGGGGGAGAAGGTGCTTCAGGTGCCAGAGCAGAGATTCCCCTGCAGCCCATGGGGAAAACCACAGTGGAGCAAATATCCACACTGCAGCCTGTGGAGGACCCCACACATGTGGGCAAGCCCTGGAGGAAGCCGCAGCCCATGGAGAGAAGCCCAAACAGCAGCAGGCTCCTGGCAGGAGCTGCAGGCTGTAGAAGACCCATGCTGGAGCAGTCTTCCTGAAGGACTGTACCCTACAGAGCCCCATGTTCTTGAAAGACTGTAGCCCATGGGAAGGACCCACACAGGAACAGGACAACAGTGTAAGGATGAAGGAGCAGCAGAGAAGAGCTGTTACAAACTGACCACAATTCCCATCCCTATGGAGATGATCCACGCTTTTCTTTGAAAATCAGATCTAAAAAGCAACACTTCTGGCTCTACCATTCCACCATTTTTGCAAGAGTATGTTTCTCTTTAAAGAATGAGCATGCTTAGAAGCTCTACTTAGTAACACTTTGGAAATAATGTGCTTAAGATGGAGATATGGGAAGACCAAACACATTAAAGCTTTTTGTTTAAAGATGAACAGATTTTAAAATACATGCATGAGCAAAAGGCTTCACCAAGAATACGTCAGAGAAATTACATGAAACAAATACAATTAGAGGATTACATAATGTCTCTGTAAGTATATTACCAGAATGTATTCAGGTCAAGAAGGTCCAAGCGAGCCTCAGCTTGCATTTTAAGAACTGGCTGTACTATAACTTGACTTTTTCATTTCTCTTCCAAGGCTTCCAGAAAATCTTTAAAATCTGAATACCATCAAAATAGCATTCTGCCATCAAGAAAGTAAGTTTGCAGGTGTTTGTGTACCCTCACTTCTAAGAACTCTCAGAGGAAACTCCAGCTCCTAACAAGAGTCTAGCAATACTAGAAATCCTCTCGCATCATAAATATTAGCATGACATTACACAGGAAGCCTTTGCTACTTGGTGCATTTGTATCTGCGTTCCCAGAACACAGAGCTAATTAAAACAGCAGTCACAACAAGTGGATCTATTAAGACACTAATCCACCTTGACTAAGCTGAAAGACAAATGCACAGGGCAGCAGAAACTGTTAAGAAACAGAACACCAGAAGCACACTTACCTAAATTCAAGAAATCTGAGCTGGTAGAAGGAGGAAGTGAACTGTGTGTGGAAGGAAATGTACTAGCTGCAGATGTTGAGCTTGGATTAAGGAAGTCCCCAAAGAGGTCTGGACCAGACAGGGCTTGATTCTCTGAACTTGATGACATTGTGAATGGGTCAAAAGGATCAGCTAGAAAAGAAGCAGAAAACAAGATTACCTTACAACAAATTTTAGAATAAAAGTTGCCCCCAGAGGAGTAAGGCTTTTTCACAAAAAGCAGAGTTCATGTTGGTAACTGCAGCAACCTTCTGAGAATTTTTTGTGGCAAAGAGTCACCATCTGCCCCTTCTTCTAGACATGTGTGCTTTCATGTCGGTACAAAAAAAAAGTATTTCAGCCATACACAATATGAACAGCTACATCTTCAAACACAAATCCTTGGCAGGGCTGCATACATTCAACAACACTGTTAATTTCATCTATGTAAGACACATTAAATTCGAGTGATCACCTGCATTCTTCTCTTTAGAAGAATTCATTTGTTAAATGCTCTATAATGCCAAACCTCCAAAGAATTTAAACAAAACAGACTATTAAACAACTAAAAAGAATATCAAGTAAAACATTCTTACTACCACTCTGACTTGAAGGCATTGGTGACTCTGGGGCAGAAAGCACGCCAACTCAAGAATGAAAAGCAACAGAAGCAAGGCTTTCAACAGGTCTCTAGTGATCAACGAAGAAAAAACTAACTGGAAGAGTATTTATAGACAGCATGCGTTAACATGTGACAGTCAGCTGGAATCATGGCTCAAGATCTTCCTGTTTCTGCTGCCCTCTAGGGTCACAATCCTGAAGAGCTCAGGGACTCCTGCTAGATTCACTCGGAAGCTGATGAGAAGGAATAATCCTGCCATAGCACCCTAGCACATCCTGAGGTGATGACCACATAGTACAGGACTCAGTAACACTTCAAAAAAACGAACCCTGGATTGTCAAGGTATCTTACTATAGCATAGCACATACACAAAACCTGAAGTACAAGTTTGATGTGCAAACTGAAACAGTGACCAAATATTCTCACTTCTGCAATTATCTTTCTCTTATCCAATTCAAAGGTAGAATGAGATACATACATGACTACTGCTCAGGTGTTTTACGGAGTAGATATAAGAAAGGCATAGTTAAAGAAAGAAAGTAATGAAGCTTCTCTTTTATAGACTGCTGCCCATGTAAAAAAGGTAATTAAGTGATTCCTCATTGACCACAGTAACAAAGTTCAATACTGAATTGCTTCAATAGAAAAATACTTGAAATGACCTGCATGGTCTACAAAAACACTTTGCAGCTGTACGTAAATTAAAGTTTTAGACTAAGTGAATTATCTTTGTGCAAATAAGCTAAACCTTTTAACAGTTCCCAGACTATTTGACTAATACTCCCAAAAGTCTTACTGTAACTTCAGGCAGAGAATCACTATTCCCAAAAGTTTAGTCATGTGACAAAGAGCTAGCTATGCATTGGTAAGACGAACAGAACCTCTAAACTAAAACACCTTGTTTTAAATACCAACTAGGTAGCAGTGTGTAACATTCTCTTGCAGGATACAGACCTGCCAACAACATCAGTAAAACCAGCAAGAAAACACCTTTTAGTGGTACCATTATCCTACTGGTTTGAACTGTAATCTACAGGATTACCAGTTGCCTATCAGTCTTACATGATTAACACTCAAAAATACGACACAGACATTTTACTTAAGCAGCATAGCTCTGTACCACATCTAATGCTATTGCTTCACATAAAGTGCAAGAAAGCAGTAAGTTATTACAATTCTATGCCTTAGAGCAAGAGAAGTTTACACATGGATTTAGAAAAGGATCTAGCATGTAACATTTGTATGGGAAAGCTACAGATTCTTTAAGAATACTGAATTTCCTTTAAATTCAAAATGTGACACTTTTCTGTTTACATGGTTTAAAGCTAATAGGATATTGGCAACATAACAAAATACCTGGATAATATACAGCAGTTTGTCTCCTTCATGCAGTAAAAACACATATTTTATGCAGATTCTTGCTATAGACCAATGTCTTCAGTGTACAGATCAAAACATGGTACTCATTTTCTAAGCACAATGCAAGCAGCAGTTTTTATCTGCCAGGCAGTTTGAGTACTGATGTTAAATTTACATACCTGAAGACATGGCTGCTGCTGACGACATACCCTGAGTAGCAGCTGGACACTGAGACTGACTGCTGAAAAAGAAATCTGTTCCTTGTCCAAGAAGATCTCCAGTGGGCTCTTCTGAAATCTGTGATGCATTACCCACAAACAGATTGTTCAACAAGTCCGCATTACTTGATGAAGAGTTTACTTCTGAGATAGGGTGTTTCTGTTCTGGTGAAATATCAGAGTCTAGTCCCAGTAAGTCTACACTCTCTTCAGGAAGAGCTTTTGGTAACGGTGAAGATGGAGCTTCAAAATTGGCTTCAAAAAGCAACTCTCCTTCTGGAGTAATAGAATCTTTTTCATCAGCAATTACCGTACTTTCTTCACCTGGAAATGTAGGAAATTCCTCATCTGAAGCACCACTCTCCTCCCTGTCATCAGACAGTTGAACATGATCATTTTTAGGTGAACTGGCCTCTATTCCACTTTCCGGACTTTTTCCTTCTTGAATAAAAAGAAAAAACACCTTTAGATTACCAGGATTCTTCTGCCAACTGGGATAAAACAGACTTAAATGGTAAGACCATATGAAATCAATCCTTAATCAAAGCTCACACAAGAATTGGTGAAAAAAGAAGAACTAACTTGTTGCCTACCACCTCTTTGTACGGGGCAGGCAAAAGGGCAGCTCACTACCGTAGCTGCCACACTGCAAGGGCAGGTATTACAATTTTTTTCAAAATGAGACTGACTTGGACATTCGCCTCAGGACATCATACCACTTATGGCTTAGAATATCACTCGGTAACTGCTGCTCCACTCAATGACAGCAGTCAGTGACAGCATAAACGGTTACTCACATTTTTGCCAACAAAGCACCCAGAAAAAAGGACTTACACATGCATTATAAAGTTACATTTTCCTCAGTCCATACATACTGATCTGGACTCCAAGTCTACTTTGTTTCCTCTGTTCCTCACCCAACCTAAGTGGGAATGCAAAGGCTTCCTTGCAGACCTTTAAGGTTAAGATTTTCACAGGAAAAAAAGTTTAGCTCAGCATTTAGAAGTTACATACAATACCAAAACGTATTACTTGGTGTTTATCCAAATGAAGTGGAACAACCACTTGTTAACCTGCAGAGCTCACTCTTTAAATAGCTTTTTCTCACGGTCTGGTGAAATAATGACTTTTGCTGTATAAGAAAGCTTAAGCACTCATTGGAAGGAGTACAAGACAACAAACAGTTACTTCAGAGTAAGTACCTTTCCAGTCCAGAGAATGAAAGAAGTTATTTGCATCATTACTACTGCTGTGTGGGGATTCTGTCTCAGTAGGTGCACTTTCTGAAGACTGCTCCAGCTGGGATGCCTCTGCTTCATATTGTGCAGTTGAACCTGGTTGTCTAGGCAGCTCCGGTTTCCCTATGAGATAGATTTTAAGTCAGAACCCTTAAAAACTTCTAAAACTCACTCCTGGTCATAGCAGCTGGTATTTGACTTGCAGACTGACTGCTATAGCAAGACAACTGTCTCAGAGTATTTACTACTCTGCAAAGGTTAATTCCTGCCCTCAACCCCCCATTTGAAATTAGCATTATTAACTTTTTTCAACTGCAAAGGCTGGTAAAACCCTATGTTCAACTATATCATTAAATTAAATCAGACTTATAGCAAAACACTCAAGCACGCTATTTACATTTGTAGGAAAGTAGAATTAACACCTCACTTGTACCAACCATCCCCTAAAATAGGCAAGAACAATGAACAACATCTGCAATAAGGAACAGAACATCAGAAAAGAGCAAATGCAGCTATAGAAAAAAACGAGAGTATAAAGCCAGAGAAGAACATGGAGTTGTTAACAAACATCTCAAATGAGTTCAGTAATATGCTGTGTGCTGTGATTAACCACTCCTTACATTTCTTATTTTACTGAGATCAGATATTAAGTGACTCTTGTGTAAGACTGAGTTGGGCTGAGTTACCTACTGCCATATTTCCCAAAAAGGAGGCTTCCTCAAGGCAAATAAGACTCCCTAAATTAATAAGCTTTCATCCACTGTTTGAAAAGAATGTGATGAATCTTGGGAGAAAGCTATTTGTCTAAACCTAAAACCAAACAGGTAGAGCACTTTTCCACCTTCTTTCCGCATACTCAGTTGCAGCTTACAGAGATGCTGAAAAAATAGTCTGTCTCAGAAAACATACGTGGAAGATCATGATTAATGAAATAGTGCAAATTTTAATAAGGCAAGTTTTATAAAACCAGTTCACAGCATTTGCTCATCCTATTCCCTTCCCAACAGTTTTAAGAAATATTTTGAATGGAATTTGAAACCCTTACATTTCATTTATCAATCAGAAAATTAAAGTGACTTAAAGTAATTTTTACAGATCCTCATTATCAATGAAACACCTTAACTTTAGTGAGCTGAGTTCACAGTAGGATCTTTATAGAAAATTACCTAAATCATAATACAAACCAAACATATCCTACTAAAAAAAGTTAAAAAAAGCAGCAACTACCTTGTATCAAAAGAAATGTAATTAAGATGTACCACATTAAGAGCAGAGAGTAAGATCTCATGTACGGGGTACTAAAATCACCACAATAATCTCCATCATGCTTTTTATCCTGAAAGCACAGAGAAGGCTTAAGAGCCTTAATGAAAATATCAAGGCTAATTACTGATACCAGGAGAAGGAGATACTGAACATCATTAACTGGAATTAATGCAGGCATCTACAGATGAAGCATAGAAAATGTAGTATTAAAAAAATTAAACATCTGCTGGACCACATTAGGAAAAGTTGAGAAACTGAATTACAACATTACTTGGCTATGCATAAGAAGGACCTTGATAAAAACATTTTTAGTTAAGACCATTTGTGAGAAATGCTCAGATTTTAAGTGAAATGATAACGGTGCCAGTTTAGCCATATATAGTTCTTTCAAGACATTTTGCCTACAAATCCTGGCTGTCACAATTCCATTTGCTAAAATCTCTGCAAATAGCACATTCATAGCTTTAAAGCAAGCAAATGTAATGACAGCAGAGGTAAGACAAGGATAATTATAATCCATTATTGGAGGATAATTTATACTTCTTCATACAATGCAAATTTAAGTGATATTTACAAAAAAGCATCTTTTAAATTTCACTTAATCTTTTAAAATTCACTTAAAGGAGTGTCAGAAATTAAACAAAAGCCTCAAATACTAAGTACATTAGAAACTTTATCATGTTCTCCAGTTTTTCAAGAGATTCATTACCAAATTTTGATAAAATTTCCTGTTGTTCTTCTCGGGTGGAGAAAAGAATCTTGGGATTCAGTCCCTTTATATTCATGTTATCCCATGGTGGCTGTTCACAGCTAGGTCTATCTCTGGGCTCCACCTCTACTTCCAGATTGACTTGAAATAAATCAGGATATTTTTCTTGTATGTCACAGGCATCCAGGTCATACCTGCAAAGATGCATACAAGTACATTCTTGACACTGATGGCTAACTAGATTAAATTCACAGTAGTCCAAGACAGAACTTCAAAGCAATTAGTATAAGGCTTAAAACATGCTGTGTTTGTTTACTTTTTCCATGTATTTTAAACAGGTCACATTTTGGTACAGAGATTTTTTTTCTATCACGAAAAAAAACTAGTTTCCTTGAGGTGAGAAAACAAAAGAATGTTCTTATTGCAAATGAAGTCATCTGCTTCCTACATTGACTCTATTTCCTCCCCCCACCATATATTGGTTTGGCAGGTTAAACAGTTTCAGAGAAAACTTCTTCCAGTCTCCTACAAAAGGGTGTCAACGTACTTGGCAAATTTCACTGTGGTGGCATTTCGGGGCACAAAACCTGTGTGGAACTGAATCTGAAACATCTTCATTGAAGCCATCTGTTGAAAACAAGAAATACAGGGAAGCTGCATAAATCCACATGAACAGTATGCACAGTGTTCTGTCTTTAATATAATGCAAAGTATTTTCAGTATTAAAATATTTTAAAGTGTTTGTTTTGCTACCATTTCAGTTCATTCCATGTATACTTTTGAGAGATGTAAATGCAGTTTAAGACAGAACATAGATAAATCTATTACTACCAGAAACAAACCAAGAGACCTTGAACCAGACACCTCTCATCGCTAACCTCAAACAGGCTATCAAAGTCTGTTAAGTATTTCCAGACCCTGTTCTAGAGGCTGAAACTGCATGACCCTTATTCTGAATAACATACACTCGGAAAAAAATGTTGCGCAATACATTAATCGAGGAATCTGTCATATATAAGGAGTCCATTCAGAACAGTTTTAAAGTAGCACATTTAAAAGGACACTTTATAAAACATAAGAGTTTTTTCCTGTGCAACTTCTCAAGTCAACCATTCATCCCAGACAGAATTATAGGGCTCTTCCAAACTGATTCATTATAACCATTCAACTTTCCTAACTTTCTTCTGCTGGCAGAAAAACTACTTTCCCATGCCTGATCAGCATGCGAGAATCCAGAAAATGCTACTATAGAAGGTTCATGTATCTCCTGGTTTTGCACAAATCCAAATTACAGCCAACTGATAAATCCACTATGTATTTGTTCCCTGGCTTTAGTTACAACACACGTGGAATAGTCTTGCCAGTCCTTACAAAGCAAGTCATACAGTAACAGTCCAGTAAATATGATATAATAAAATTGAATGATGACAGCTTTCCTTGTAAATGAGCATTTATTGAACATCATAACCAGAAGTCAAGTAACAGGCAAAGGCTAAGGGAGGTGATTTTCCCCTCTATCCAATACTGGTGAGGCTGCATCTGAAGTCCTATGTCCAGTGCTGGGCTCCTCAATACAAGAGAGTCACGGACATACTGGAGAGAGTTTCTCTGATCCATCCACCCATCCCTACCCTGAACTACAGATGAAAACCTGAACACCCTGTTAAATCCATTTTCTTAATCCCTTGCTATGCAAGACATTTCCTAGAAGATAAACTAAATCCTCTCTCAAATTAATGGTGAGCAAATAGGAGACATTCACAACACCCAGCTCTAGGCACTTAGTAAAAATAAGGACACATTGAATATTGTTCTATCAAAGCTCCAAACCAGGATCATAAACACTGTTGATATGTGTTGTGGATGACAAAATTCTAACCTTTTCCAATTAGCGAATAAATGCCAGAGAAACCACATCAAAGAAACTCTATCATCAGTGAAACTGAGACTGCACAAGGAATATAAGCTAACCTTGGCTGAATTTTCCCCAGTTGTATGCCTTCTTCACTGATGACCTTGAACCATACACTAGTTATTTTTGTGCAGTAGAGAATCATTTCACTGAGCTTTGTTTTAGGATGCTCTGGAAGATGTGGCCCCATAGCACTCTGGGGACATTCAGAAAGTCTTGAACCTCTGCAACATGACAAGATCTGATACTAACCTTCCTACACACAAAGCAGAAAAAACATCGGGAAAACCATTTATTTCAGTAATAGTAGATATGTATGAATATGCTTGTTTGCCCTAAATGTAGGGAAGCTGTCTGAAGAACCTCTGGATCAATTTTCACAATGCTCCAAAAGTTATCCTAAACTTTGCACTACCCCTTCCTATCTTTTACATGGATCTCCAAGTTTAATTTGGGTACTCATCTGGAGAAAAAAACATGTTTCTTTTTTAAAAATTTGAAAACAGGCTTCATTAGCAAGCTTTTTGTGATCTTGCAATAGATTTGCATTCATAGTTGAATTAGAAAAGGAAAACATGCATTCTCCCTAGGAGAACAAAGACTAGTAAGAAAATTGGCTATACACTCAACCTGGCTCTAGAAATAGGGTACAAAACTACATGGATTTTTCTAGGCTGTTTTGCACAGGCAGTCCCTGGAATTCCACTTTTCTATTGAGTGATATTTTTCCTTTTCTTGCAGTTTGTGTACACAGAATTAAAAAGTTCTCACTTGTTGTGCAACTTAACAGATAACAATCACTGTCTCAAAAAACTAGCTAGAGGCTAGCTACATGCAAATATAGTAACTATCACTACTGAAGTAATGTCCAGAAATGCTCAAAGCATCTGCATGCAGAGCACTAAGAATAGACATACTTAATAGGCTTGAAAAGGCTGAATTCCCAAGTACATGAAAACCTCACACATTTCTTTCAACAAAGAATAGCAAATAAACCCATGTACTTAATGAGATCAAATACAAGTATGATACAAAACTGCAACAAGAAAAAGCAAATCCTCTATGTAGGCTGTTAAATTCTTCATCACCTTGGCTTGTAGTCGGCCTCCTAGTGTTGACCTGGCATGATAGATCACAATGAGAACATCTCCCTGGACTGTTATACCTAGTGGAATTACTGCTTTTCCATCTTCAATTTTAAACTCCCTGAAGAAAAAAAACATAACCACAGTTAATTTTGCTTAAAACAGAGTATGACCTTATGTTTAGTTTGGTTTCTCCAAGGCCTTCCATATCAGCCCATAAAAATCTGCTTCAAGTTCTTATTATAGAGAAGGAATTTGCTCTAAGTGATTAAAACTTAAAAGCTACTCTAAAAATAACAGGATTAACAGTTGCCTACAGCAGAGCAACAGACATATTTAGACCCATAGCTCTCAAATCAAGTAGGGGAGAAACATGTCTTCAAGGAGCTGCTGGGAAATGCAAGAGACAGGGGATTATGAAGAAAGCTCTTCCAAAAAAAGGTGCATAAACTGTAGCTGCACTGCTGTGATATGTTAGGACTCCCACTAAGGGACAGTGGTAAAGAAAGAGGGGAAAATATTATAACACCCCACAGCTGTTTCTGTTCCTGCTCTCTTCAAATTCATTAAACTCCTTAAAGGGCTTGGATTTATAGGACAGCTAGAAGAACTTTGGTATTCTCTCATCTTTCCTCTGTGACTATCTACACCTAGTACTGCTAGCACCATTTGCAATTCCTGTGCTGTATTACAACAGCAGACAACAGAGCTGTACAGGGGCTAATAAGCACTCCACTTACAGCTACCATGCCTGGGGAATCCTTACTGTTTCCATGACTGAGACATGATGTTCAGTTCAGTACATGTACACCAGGGATCAATCTTCCTAGTTTACACCCCATGGAGTGAGAGGAAAGAGGGTCTTGCTCCCCTCTGCCTCCCAGTACCCACTGTGCCACCCCACCATCATCCCCACTTTCTGCAGGAACAGATCCAAGCTGCTATTATAACCACATTGTCTCTTCCCCATGATTTACCTTTCAAGATCAGCTAAAAGGGGACAGAGAAGCTGTTCTATATGTTAAAGCAGCTTTCTGCTCAACTGGCACATGCAAAATCATGCTTTCTCCTCACAGTAAGGGCTTCCTATTTAAGTTAGTCTAGAAAAACATAATGCGCTGTTTTGGAGCAAATCATAACCTATACTTACTTCATTTTGTCATATTCCTGGGAGGTAGTGGCTACTCTCTCATCTCCCACATAAACTTCGCAAAAGGGCCTGCAACCATTACGCTGCTTACTGAAAAGAGGAACTGGAGTCATGACGATTGATCTGACAAGGATGGGCTTGCTGTGAGGAATAATGGGTTCTTCAGCCATCATGTCACACATGTATTCAATATATCTGCCAAAAACAAAAGGTACTCATTTAGCCAGAGAACGGAATTCTAAAAATGGGTGAACACATAGGTGAGTTAGTGCTGTTCATATCCAGCCACTGAGCAGTGACAAATGATAACAACAAAACACTGGCAACACTTAACAACACTTCCAGCAACATATTTTCAAATCTGACAGAATTTCACAAAAGGAGAATGAAATAGAAACATGGAGAAATATTTATGATCCCTAGCCAGCCTCTCCATTTAAGGACAGCAAGGCAGTTTCTGTACAAAAGCCTGATGGCTGCATCACAAGAGAAAAATATACTGCCCAGAAAACTGAATACAGCACTGCATATGAACTCATCTGCAACCATGTCCCACCTTCCAGACAACTCCGGACATTGCCTTAGGTCTGTAGCTTTAGAAACACCAAACTAGAAGAATTATTTATTCTGTGTCTTACACATAATGGATTGAAGTTGCATAGCTGTTCTAAAGCTAGTAACTCAAAGCTTCCTAAAGGCTTTAAATTTATCCTCACTAATATAAGTTATCTTGTAGAGGACTCATTAAATATACGCAAAGTAAATCTGTACAACAGCATAATCTGTCATTTACACTTAACTAATCCTTACTTCTCAGCTTTCTAAATCTAATCCTTTTTGTAGAAACACCCTTACTACCAGTGTCACTTGCTACTGAGACTTTATTGTTATAAGGTCTATCAAGTTAACTCAAAAAATCAGTTTAAAACATTTGTCAAGGTACATGAAAGTCACTTCTGCGTGCACTCCTTTAAAAAAGTAGAAGGCATTCTTACCTAAACAGGAAAGATTGACAGAAATCATTACTGGTCTTTCCACAGAACTTGCAGTGTTCTGACACGGTAAAACCTCTTGTAATAAACTAGTAAACATGGACGAAGTCTTACACACGTGGAAGAGGATTTTATACTTAAGAGAGCATTCAAAAGCATGCATATACCCTTGTTTTAATTCCTAACATTTCTTCACTACAGGTCATACTTTACTCACTTTTGATAAGAACATCATGAGTAACTTAAGGGCTCACAAAATTCAGAACTACTTTCTCTATTAATGATAGATCCATTTTTCCAAGTATTTTGCTGTTTGAACACAGACACTATTGAAATAATTTATCTCCTTAAAAAGCATCCTGTAAGAATAGTAGCATATTCACAGTTGCATAACTACTTGCTTCAAGAGTACCCTACAGACTGATACCATACCTTTTATGAGAAGGCCAAATGCCAGGAGGACAGCGTTTCATACTGAACATATAAACCGCAGCTTCAGCAGTAGTGAAGAGACGACAGAAACACAGAAAAGAACAGACTACAACAGCAGATGCTGCTCTTCCATCCTACAAAAAAATTGTAACTTTGTTATTAAACCTAGTGGAAAAAGTGTTACAGAAGTTACTGAAGAATATACTGTCTCCTTATTTAATGTAATGAAGTCCAACATCTAGTGTGATCATCAGATTTGAAGTTTGTATCTGAATATGAAGTGTTTTAATTTGATTTCCACACAATACAGAAGATATTACACATTATCTGCTTGCTAAAATGTGAATAATTGTTTTAGCTTAACATTGTTTGAAATTTTCAATTTATGTTTATTACCTTACTATCACTAATACCCATTTTTAAGTTTGTTTCCTGGCTGCCACCTGAAACCCCACTCAGTTCAGTGCTGGTTTTGGCCGATAACCATGGACTTCTGCTACAAGAGAAGTCCTAAGACTCAAAAGAACTAAGCCACACTAAACTCTTTAGTCTTCTGACCAAAACTGCCTGAGATTAATAGCATGCCACAGAACCAAGAGAAGGAAATTAAAACACTGAGCCTCGTTCTGCAGGGACCACAGCTACACATGTTCCAGATGCACCCCTACATTACAACAGACTGAAGATTCAGAAGAGGTAATGGTTGGCAGAACAGGGCCTCTCCAGTTTTATTGCTAGCAACATGGAATAGATTTTTTTTGTGGTCATTTGGCATAGGAGTGTGGAAGCAGAGAAGAAATAAAGGTTTTTCCTCAACTTGTTCTAACAGGCATTTCCTTCAAAGCCAGGCTTCTATTCTAACCATTACTTAGATCAATGAATGAAAAGGTCTACCAGCACCATAAGAGCCAGATCTTTAAAGAACAGTTCAGCAAATCAGTATTATTACTGCTGGTGTAAACTAGCAAGCCCAATGATTTCCAGAAGTCACTAAACTAGTCTATGATTCCACGGGTTGGACCCTGCCTTTCAGTTAAATTTCACACAGATGTAACAAAAAAATGATCCCTACCCTGAGATGCCTACACTTAGGACAAAACATTAATGAATACAGGGGAAGAATGAAACAGTAGTGGGAAATGCAGTGTACACCCAGCTGTCACTCAGAAAACATGAACAAAATACAAAGCAAACACTGAAATAGAGCAGATTCTTTCTCCCAAAGGCTACTTTGCCTTAATCCCTGCTATATACTGCCTTCCATGCTACATGCAAGTAAGCATTATCCTACTAATTTGCCTCAGGAGAATATTTATGCAAATAACTTTCCTAAAGACACAGCAGGATGGAATTGCCCCCAGGCCTCACAGTAAAGAAAGCCGGTAATATTCATAAACTGAGTGGATACTAGCATCCTTATTCACAATTTAAAGCTAGATTGAGCAAAGCACTTCTTAAACCAATTTCTTACAAGGCAGTGCACAATGCAAACATTCTTCTGGTCTTGTTTCAGCCATAAATGCATATTCTTGCATATGGTATAGAGATTATGAAGGTTTGGTGCTCTTCTTGCTGGCCAGCCACATTCAGAAACCTGCAACAAGAGAGAGTGCAGAGGTGAGAAACAGTCATAGAGGTGAGATTACATAGTCACACACATTTGCATAGCATAAGCTGTTTATATAAGAGGCAATTTTACACTTTAATGCCATCTTCAGGTAGAAATTAAGCGAGATGCTCAAGAAAAGCAGTCTCACACAGGGTAAGCATCACTTTATAGGATGAAGTGCAATAAAACTCCAGTCCTGTCTATAGTCTGCTGCACTGGATGTATCGACAACTCAGATTACTATCTGAAATCTTCTTAGAGCAAGGAACAAAGTAAAACAGCTGTCAACTTGATTTGTGACCATACTCTTAAAGCAGAAAAAACAGACTTGGTTTGCTTTTTGTCATGGTTTAACCCTAGCCAGCAACTAAGCACCACACAGCCGCTCGCTCACTCCTCCCCAGTGGGATGGGGGAGAGAATCAGATGAGTAAAAGTGAGCAAACTCATGGGTTGAGATAAAGACAGTTTAATGGGTAAAGCAAAAGCCACACACGCAAGCAAAACAAAGCAAAGCAAGGAATTCATTCACTGCTTCCCATGGGCAGGCAGGTGTCCAGCCATCCTCAGGAAAGCAGGGCTCCATCACGCATAACGGTTACTTGGGAAGACAAACACCATCACACCCAACATCCTCCCCTTCCTTCTTCTTCCCCCAGCTTATATACTGAGCATGATGTGATATGGTATGGAATAGCCCTTTGGTCAGTCTGGGTCAGCTGTCCTAGCTATGCTCCCTCCCAGCTTCTTATGCACCTGACAGAGCACAAGAAGCTGAAAAGTCCTTGACTAATGTAAACTCTGCTCAGCAAGAACCAAAACATCAGCATGTTATCAACATTATTCTCATCCTAAATCCAAAACACAGCACTCTACCAGCTACTAAGAAGAAAATTAACTCTATCCCAGCTGAAACCAGGACACTTTTACATATGTCTTATTCAAAGAGCCTCAAGAGTTAAGTAATATCCCTTCTGTAATTAGTGCTACAAAACACTACCAAATAATCAGCTTCACTGCTGAGGTCTATATTCTTAAAATCAGCTGTCCAGTAAGAATGCCGTATATGAAACCTGATCCTTGAGCACTTGCAACACCTAAAGAGTAGATGTTCTGCCAGGACCAAGGAAACCACTTACAAATCAAGCTGCTTCTATTTCTTTTTAGCCAGGACCACAATTGCTGAATGCAGAAGACCAAGTTTTGCTATCAGCAACGTGTTTTCTTAACCAGATAAAAGAGTTCAAGGGTTATTCTGAGATGAATTACCTGAGTGTCACAAAAAATTCTTAATGAGATTGGTTTTGTGCCAAGCTCAGGAAAAAAGGCTGAAAGAAACAGTCTGACATACAAAGTCTCCTACAGCTTTCACTGTATTCTAGTATTTTAATTAAAGAGGGCAGCTTCAGAAAGCTTTTCTACAAGAGATCTAAATTTAAAGTTCTTTTGTTAGTGAAAGCTTATGCAAAGTCACCACTGAACGAATAAAAGCAAAGGCAAGCTGTCCTTTATATTCCTGTGCACCACAGGATTCAATGTGGGCTTCAGTACATCTCAAATATTACAACAGCAGTGAAAGAATCATATTGCAGCATTACAGCTACAAACCTGAAAACAGTCTAGAAAAGCAGGTGTATTGAAACAAAGCAAGAACTGACTTTTCTGATTTACTGTTTATTTTCTGATCAAATGCTAGTTTTGTTACAAGCTGTATACCATACAACATTACCTGCTTTTCCTTTGGCTATGTTTTAAGCTCAAAATGTTCTCACCATTAGCAGAATGACGGAGAGTGCACAATCTCTCTGAGCAACCTGTTCCAAGTAGGACTCAAAACTACCAGAGAAGACTTCAAAACTACCATTAACTTTAACAAAGGTTAAAGAAATTTGTAAAAGTTCCATACAGAGAGTGTAGAGCAAGAAAGTAAGAATATATAATTTCATAAATATCTACTGAGCAAAGTGTCAGAATGAAGAATTTCAGAAGCTGTCCTCCTCTGATCAAGTTTAAGGCTTGCCATAATCATCTTTTGCAGGCACTAAAGAAAAACTAAGCTTCCTTATCTTCCTACATGGCTGCTCTCACCCAGCACTGAATAAAGAAGTCAGTCAGTATTGCTCATTGTGCATCTGGATTTCAAAGATGGACAGGTTTCCCCAATATATTTGAAGAGTTTGTTTACCAAGTAAAATAGTTGCCTTTTTTTGTTTTTAAAAAGAAGACAATGTTTTGTAGAAACTTCCTAAATACTCCCAATAAAGTGGGCAGGAACCTACAATGTTTTGTCAAGTTATGATCTCCTATTACTTCCCAGCAAAACAAAGATCATAAGACAAAACGAATTTCAGAGATAAATGTAGACCAGAAGAGTTCCAGATCACTGGTAGATTTAGCCATGCTCATATTACCATTCACGGTATCAATACATCAGAAATATCAACATATAGGCACCTGAGACTTGCATAAACAAAAAACCATCCCCAGGGTGAACAATTTCCCAGTCACAGAATTTATCATTCCATAAACTGAGACTGATCACTTTGTAGGAAGAGGAATAAATCAGTTCACTATGTCGGCCTCAGTGGACTTTCCAGCAATCTCATGCTAAAAAGCATTGCTGAAGATTTTGCTTTGAGGTTCCTACTCCAAATAATCATGCAGGAAGTTTCCCGCATGATCAAGCTTTGCCTTCCATGTTGAACAGCCTTTGCCTGAACCTCATACTGAATGAGATGCAGATAAGGAAGTTGATTGCCTCCACCCAAAGAGGCAGTTTTTTCAGGCATGACAATACTTTGTCTCATTTACAAGGAAACAAAAGGAAGTGACAAGCACTAAATAGAATACGTTAAACATACCTCAGCCTGACAGTTTAAGTGAACTTGGATAACTGAAGTAATGCTAAGGATAGGTCTGCAGGATAAGGCCCAAAAGGGGTTTCCTGGAACAAATAATGCTTCCAGACTCTCCCCTGAGCAGTCAGTACTGTGAGGAAGGGGCATGATCACTACAGACTGTTTAGGTGAGGTCTAATGTCGCCGGTGCTAGACAACTCACAACACAGTAACAATCTCCACTGTTGAGCTACTTACAGAACAGTTGAGATGTATTTAGGAGCAGACACTGAAGTCCAGGATCTCAGCACCTAACAAGCTGTCCTCACTACCTTGTTACTGAATTAGGCAAATGTCTTCATTTTCATATCAGAGAAATAGCCAGAAAGGCTAACTGAGGCTCAGCTAAGCTATACCAATATTTCAGGCAGTAGCAACAAGCAGTCAGCTAGGGCTGAGCCATATGGGAGTCAAATGGTGTGGTAGCAGGACAAGGAGAAAGTCCAGTAAACAGGTTGTGCAAATCAGTCACCAAAGGAGTATTGCCTTTAATAAAGGAAAACATCTGAATGTAGGAAAGACCGAAATTTTAGTAAAATTTTTTTATTAAGTATTCTCCATTTAAATCTGCAACATGTAAGGTACCTGTACATGTTTTCAAACATATCACTAGCCTAGGAAACACAGATTTTAATTAGTAAGATTAAAGATTAGTCTTTAATCAGTTATGTTTGGATTGAAAGCAAAGACAAGCAGAATATAGGTTACTCTTTGATCTTACGTTTACATTTATTCTTTTGTGATCTTTTGGATTATGCAACTTGCTTTAACATATTTCACAATAAAAAGCTGAAGGTATAATCAAGACATTGTGTTGAAAGACCTCTTACAGAAATACACAAAAACTATACACACCCTATTATGGAATCTTGAAGACCTGTATGTTCTTGGAGAGAGATTGTACACAGCATAGTGGCCAGGATGTTTAGAGTCCAGACATAACCGCACATCTTCTATGTTATTTTTGATGGCAGATTCTACACCTTCAGCTGGAAAGGACATCACTGAAGACAGAACAACAAACACCAGGTGAAGTATTCACTTTTTTCATATATTAAGAACAACCAGAAATTACTCTTAAGACATAGCTATCATACCAGCAATCCTGGAAGTGATGTATGATATATCCAAGTCCCCTTTTGCATAACTGAAACAGAACACATTGGAGTTAATACTGTGAAATAGAAACATTTAAGCCATAAGTCTAAAACCCAGGTCTCTCAGGCAACACCCACCACCATGAAGTGTGTTTCATTTCTTCCATTTGAGGCTTGTTACCTCACACTTCAAGGATTTCAGAATAGAGTTTTCAGAATAGACATTGTATTTGAACAGTTACTCATTTACATGAGTTGCAATAAAACCATCTCTAGGGACTTTGTACAGATGCCTTCAATGTTTAACTCATTCCTCTAGCCCCTGCTCTTACTGATAAACATTCATTGTAGGTATCAGTTTGAAAGCCTAATGAGGATGCATTAATATCTTTAATGGAGGACATCATAATGCTTAAGACAAAGACCATTTGTTGAAACATTAGATTTTAAATGATGTAAACCTGGCATGTTACTATTGGGTCCAGCTGGCCAATTTCTGAATTCCATATGAATAGAGAGTACCTGAATTTCTTTCCTCATTTAAATCATTCCTCCAAAAATTCACTTCCAAAACTCCCATAGTGAGCAAGGCATTAATCATTGCTCATCTTCTCATATAGTTGTGCACAGTTCTAAGGAGTAGCCTTTTTGAAAAATAATCTCCCAGTGACTCTATTTAGGTCCATTCCCTTCATCTCTAGCTAATCACCCACATTACGCCAATAATTTAAGACCACTATTACTTTTTTCGTTTCTAGGGTATCTGCTATGTAGCAGGACAAAAAACGTTGAGAAAAAGACAGAAGAGCCCCAGCACAGGCCAACACCCTTCAGTATAATCACATAGGCCTGCATTCCTGATTGGCAAAAAAAGACCAAACCTCACCTACAGAATTTCGTTTAGACATCCCTAACTTAAGTCAGTAGCATATAATCTCCAGAATACCAAAATGTCATCACAACACTACGACGGAATGCGGAGGCACTACCTCTTTAGAATGCTTTTCTGTCACTATAAAGTTTCAAGACACTGCTTGAAAGAGCAGAACTCCGCTCTTTCTGTACTCAAATTTCAAAACATCAAGAGAATATTATGTTTTGATCCCTTACTGCTTCCTAGTAAACATGAAGGAGGCTGGAGGGATTGATTAAAAGATTACTGAATTGACAAGGATGGGGAGGAGGATTTTAGATAAGGCAAGAACAACTGTTCTGAAAGCAAGGACATTAAACAGTATTTATGTGGAATAGCATGATCAGTGTCCTAACAATGATAATGACCCAATGTCTCAAGAGAAACTGAAATCACCACAAGGAAGTTTGAGTCTCACTAGACAAAGCACTAAAAAACCTCAGCCTTGCAAAATCTTGCATAAGGAGGTAGACAAAATGGTCAAATGAACACTATTTCAAAATTCTTTGCACCTTGGAAGAACATAACTTCATCATGTAGCTCAAGTGGTAACACTGTTGCAGCCAATTAAGCTAATTAAGGCAGAAATTTACATTCAGAGCTAATCACGATTTCTTACTAAAATTAGTGATGAGCATAGTCCTTTATATCATTGAGAAGTGTCAAATGTTATTTGTTGCTTACACCCATCAGCTTCAAGCAAGATAACATGCAGATCATTCTAATGATACCAACTTTTTTGATAGCCAAGATAAAGAACCACCTAATACGATAGTCTGAGAACAAAGAACTATTATCTCTTCAATGCTATAACACTGAAGTCGAGCAGCAACTTGAAACAGAAGCACAGAACTATTAAGAGCAAAAAAACCAACAGTCCTCACACCCATTTCCTTTGAGAAAACTTTCAGATATTAACTTCTTACTAGCAACACCACTCAATTCAGCTTTGCTTTTTACATTTCTCTAAATTAAAATTAACATTATTAGGAGCATGGATCTCACCACACATATCACAAAAAATGCAGCTTGTCAACAACAGAGCACAGCCAACTCAAGCTTGCTGTTTTGCAGGCAAAAATCTGTATACCTGTTTGAAATGAAAAAGCTTCAGAATGTTCGTGCTGTCTTAATTAAAATGTAGCTGCTAAACTGCAAAATCAACAAAAGCCTCCTAAAACATGTGACTTTGTCCTTGAATTACTATTCCTTGAACTTTATTCTGAAGATTTCAGAGCTATTTCAGTACTAAAACTTGAACACAAGTTACTCTGTTTTTTAGTGGAGTGTTTCACATCTGACTGGTAAGTGAGATTGCTTTAAATGGCAGGAAGGTGAAAAAATGCTTATTCTTCACACTGGTAAGCATTCCTATATATTTCAAGATATAACCCAGTAACTAAACATCAGGAATAAGGTCTTTCCTTTCATGTTGCTAACAGCAGAACTTTCGTCTACATAGTGATGTTGCTGGCAGGTGATGAGTAGAAGAACATGCAAACAAATCAAGAAGACTGCATGAAGCATTTCTGGCTTGTGATCTGTATGGAAAACTCAGTGTGCTTTTTAAGGCTTTAATTAAGCTCAACAGGAAAGTATGTTATGAGAGCAGTATTTAGTCACTTTTCTGATGATACCAGGCTACTTCAAGGCTTCTTAGTGAGAAGTCTAGTGGGCAATGTAGCAAATAAGATACGAATTTTCACCTAAACTAAATCAGAAGTTTTAATTAGATGCTAAAAACTTTCCAGTGTGTAAATGGTTGGCATTATCAATCTTGCCAGAGAACAGCTACACTTAGACCATAACTAATATGAAACGAAAGATCATTCCAGCAAATTAAGTTAAAAAAATTAAAATTAACAATTACATTCACAAAATAAACTAGTTAGCATACAGCACAAAATTCTACAACAGTGCATAGTTACCTTGTGTTACTAACAGCTGAAGATAGGAAAGAATAAAGAATGACAGACTAACCAGCACAGCTACAAGGTGAGCACACAAACCATTATCTTCAGTTACACTCTAACACTAAGCAATCTTCCTCCAGACATCTCTATACTCACAAGAATAGAAAAACATCTATTTGTTACCTAAGTACCTCCATTTTTGCAGTTTATTTTTTAAAAGCCAGGAAGAAATGCAGCACTGAAATTCACATCAATCTGTTCCCACTTGGTTTTGCTTCATAAAACTGAATTAATCATTCAACTACCTAGTGCAACACAACGATCCATGAAATAAAACATTAATGCAGCACCAAACCAGAAACAAAATTACCTTAGGAGCAAAGGAAGCTAGCAATAAAAAGGCAGCTAACTGTTCCCTCGATTACTAGATCATAATCTCTTCAGTGAATGAGACTGTTCTGACAAACCAAAACAAGACTGATCATAAGTTTTGCATGCTGCTTTCAATACCAGTGAAAGCTGGATACTTAAAACATTTATATATGTTTTTTTGGCAGGGCATCTATAACCTCTGTGGATGCAGACCTCAATAAGCATAAAAGCTGCTCAAGGGCACAGCAGTGTCACAAACGAGAGATGGATGAGCTGAACAGAGGTATGTTGAGACTGCACGGCGGCAGACTGAGTTATCAGGCACACATGGGTACATCTGCTGGAACAAAGTTGCCTTTCATGCAGACATTACTCTGCCCTATCAGGCCCCTTCAGAGCAGTGTATATCTGCACCCTAGTACTTTTCTAGGTCATTTTCCTATCGATAGAGGGCTGAACATCTGTTGCTCTGTGTTCTCTCACGTAGCTATAAATTGCTTCTGCCTGACCTGAATCTGGAGCAGAGATTGCAACACCTCCAAGTGAGGTGGCCTGGGCAACAATCAAGATGGCCCTCACTCATTCTCCTGTTCCTAGTAGCCCGTGACATGTGTTTTAGTTTTCAGACTTCATCATTTACTAGGATAAACAAGAGACCAAAATTTGAATTAAGATAAAGGCAGCTATGGGAGAGAAGAAAACTTTTTTTTGTAGCAACTACAAAACACTAACTCTTCTACTGTAGTTTGGACTCAGTGAGAAAGAAGACTGCCTGCAGTAAAGGAAATAACTCCATAATTCAGAAAAGCAATGATAAGTAGGAAGAAGAAAGCCTACCTAATGACATGACAGACTCCTACATGAGGAGTGCTTAAGTGTGGTGAGGAAAATGCATGACAAAGAAGAGACATTATAGTTCGTCCAGAATGTCTGCTTCTCATGTTGGTTGAAGAGTTTTGGAAAGGCAGTCAAGGATGCAACAGTAGAAGAAGTATTCTCACATCCCTGACAGTACCAGCTGTAGCCACAACACAAGTTTGTAAAGGCAGAGGATGACCATGAGAAACAGATATGTCCTACAGTAGATGCAAACAAAGAATTAACACTTCAGCTTGGTTAAAGCATAAATAGTTTAAGAACGCACAAGCCCAGTGGTGGGACTCTCAGCAGCACAGTGAATGTTAAATGCTAAAGAACCTGAGACTACCTTAGGTCCTGCATAACAGTAAGTATTGCTCACATTAATTCATGTTTTGCCATTTCAGTGAACTGTTAAACACAGTTAACGTTCAAAAGACATGACAGACTTATCAAGGAATGAAAATCACAGCCCTAAGGGCCACCAAAGAATATTTGCAAATTACAAGTGGAAAGAGTTTCTCTTTCAGTATTGATTAAATATCTGGAAAACAAGTATTGAAGTAACTGGTTCTCACTAGCATAATTACATACTTGGTGCATTCCCTCCTTTTCTTTCACTCCCCAACCCTATGACCAAATTCACTTAGATAATACAAGAAAACAAACAGGCAGTTGTATGAAGACAGAGGGTCCTCCACAAACCCAAGATTTGTTTATGGCAGTGCAGAGCTTAAACAAAAATCTGGCAGTTTCACATGCACTGCCAGAGGCAATATGCACAAGCCACCTAAATACAAACCCTTATTCAATCAGCCTAGTCCAAAACACCTCTGAGGGACTGATCTCCTCATGATGAAGCTTGAGACTTAACATACACTGTCTGACAATCCTCTGTCAACCCATCACAGCCCATGAAAGTGCTGCATCCCCCATTAGCTGGAAAAGGCCTGTGGCTCATTGATCTAATTTGGATATTACAATACTTCCACCCATTAAAAGCTACAAACCAAAACCAGGTCAAAAAATTACATTCACAAGCTACTCAATTCCAGTAAATATCCACATGTGACTTTCTGTAATTAATACAAGTAGGATGTAAAAGTAAAAGCTTTTCTTTGACTAATATTTAGTAAGTTCCACAAGACATGCACTAAAATGTCTCCAACAGCACTCGCATTCCTGACAGAGGCTTAAACACTACCATAAAGTAAATAGTCATGCCAGATAGGGTTTGAACCAGTTTAGAAGATACCAACAGTTCTTTATGTCTCACACAAATTTAAGGCTTAAATGATCCTGCCACAGGGCTCTCTGCAGGACTTGAGAGCCTCCAGTTCCATTTCAATCATCTTTCCCATTTTTGTCAAAACAGGGATTCTAACTAACGTGCCAAGTGTATAGTTCAGCCACAGAACACTAATTAGCAATTCAGAAGTAGCACAGTAACTTTAAGAATAAGACAGATGCAAGACTTATTTTGGGCAGCCACCATAATCTAAACAAACAATTGTAGAGAAGAGCATATGAACTGAACAGGATCTTTTCAGACAGCAAGTACTCGCTGTCCTATACTTCAGAAGCTGCCAGATGAGCTCTGCAGATGTGGCTGGATGTACAGTTACTGTTTTATTCCTTGCACACTACATTTATTATGGAACCAAAGAAAATCACACAAAGCAAAAAGCCACACACCCCTGTTAGGTAAGAGGAATAAAAAAGTGCAGGCACAGCATAAGCCATGCAATATTAAAAAGTCAATTTTAGACAGTCCTAATCCACCACTAGAAAAGGGGAAAATGGCATAAGATGAAATTCAAAAAAGTAATTAAATTTCCAGTGGCCTTTAAGAAAGAAACCACTTGCAAGAGCAGGAAGAGGAAACTTCTTCAAACATAGCTGACTGATGAAGGCACAACTCAGAAAGTCATGTAGAGACAAGAGCACAAGAAAGTGAAGTGCAGGAGTACTTCAGAAGCATGTAGTGTACAATCAAAATATAGTACCAGAGTAAGATCTAAGACAGGAACACAGACATGGGAAAGCAGTGCCTAAAACTTCTGACAAAAGGTATAGAAGAATTTAAGTGTTACCTGTCACAAAGGAAGAAAAGTAATTTCTCTGCTGCAAGACTTAGATTTAAGCAAAACCGGCAGATATAAGACAAGGAATTAAGTACCTTCGAGTTTATAAATAGTAGAGCTGTCAAAGGCAAGGAATCTGCAGAATATTTCCATGTTTTACCACACAGTAAATTTCTTTTAACAACATATCACAAAAGGAACAGAAGTAGGACCGAAGAGGAGGGGAGAGGAAGATCAGTTTCACAGAAGGTAGCAGGTACAAGGAGATAAAGAACAGAGGCCTGCAAGACAACACATGTCAAAGATAAAATGGACAGCAGTTGCTTAAAAGTTGTAGCTCATCATGTTATTTCATACATGGAATTCCTACAGTTCTGCTAAGTTGCTAACAAATCACCGCTTTTCATCATGCAACAGTTCATTCCCCTTGTACACCTCCCTGTCTTCTCCTGAGCCAGTGCTGTTTCCCCACAGTGAAAAGTTTGATGGTACTGTGCCAATTGCTTCTGTAGAAAGCTTAAGGACAAACCAAAGCTGCAGAGCTTTTGCAGCCTTTAAAAAAAAAAGAGGACCTGGCCTTTCTAAGCCACACATAGGAAGTTTAAATAGACTAAGTGTAAGAGCAAACAGCTAAAAATGCACTTGAAGTGGCTACAGAGGTGCACGATCTACAAATCTAACATATCTGATCATTACAAACATTTTAGGGCAGCACTATGCACAAATTACACTCAGTGACAGAAAAAAAACATGTTGCAAGCAATAGACTTCACAAGCCATAGCACAGTATCCCAATTAAAGGGCCACAAACCCTACAGTGAGGAACAAGGTTCAGTATTTCTTATAACTCAAGTCATGGTATTCACTAGTGACTTACCTGCTCTTCCTAGAATTAAGAAAAAACTTTTACACTGCATAAAATTTTATTATGAGTAAAAAATGTATGAATCATACGGATTGATCATATAGAGGTACTAGAGACCTTTGGAATGGGACTGAAAATCTGATTAGAAAAAAATAATCACACACTGGGTATCTGAGAACAGAAATCAAAACAGGAGAGTATTCTTCCATGTAATGCAGGGCAAAGGAGAAAAACAGTGCAGATCCTCTCACTTTGCCTTGAGGGCATAGGATTCCACCTGAAAACTGGACAGAAGAGCTCATACGCTATATCCTACGCATATGCAGTTGTTCTCACCTCCATTCCCTTTATTTGCGCCTTTCGCACCCCATCTTATTTATTTCCACTCTACTAATTAAATTAATTCATTCTGAACCATGATAGTCCTATTCCATAACTCTCCACCCTGCTCCAGCTCCCACCTGCTCATCTCTCCCAAGCTTTCAGTATCTAAAATACAGCAGAGAAAGTAGTACTTATGGACAGACTTTTTTTTTTGCCCCAAGCATTCTCATTTCTAGTATATGATTGCTAAAGTAGCTTTTGTATTAGTATCTCAGAGCTCACTACCAGCTATTAGAGCTCATACTTGGAAAAGTATGCTGAATTTGATGATTTCTGGAGTAAGCTCCTGACCCTTCATTTAGAACTCTTACCAACACAATTTTATTTTTTTTACTCACTTGGCCACAGACTGGATAACTTTAGAAGATGTATCCTTAATATTAGTGAAAAATCGCTCTGTTCCACCCCTCAGAATATCAAAGAACCCTCCATAAGTCTGGTCACATTCCGCAACGGTCAGGCCTAGAGTAGTTGAATAAAAATAATTGTATTTTAAGTCATATCCTCGAATGGGCTCCATACTAAAGCAAGTTGCCTACAAAGCTGGAAGTGAATGGATATACAGGCTACGCCTTGCTGTAAGGCTCACATGTCTAAAGCTCCCCTTAACTACGACCTATGCAAAAAATAGTACTTCCTGCAGTCAGGAGGTACTAGGAAACCACTTAACACATTGTTTAATTGACTGTTTGCATTTAAGAGAAAACAAGGTAAAAAATTTCTGAACATGAAGTATTTATTTCATGCTGCCAGTGCAGCAAAATACTGTCTTTTTTAAGCATCAGCCTCTTAAGTGCAGCTTATCATTATCAAGTCTACTTAAACACTCCCAGTAGAGATATTTTAATGCAGGGCTTCAAAATCAGCTGGCATAATTCAGTTACTTTTTAAGCACATCCCAGGAAAACATCCCTATTAATATGATTGTATACAACAAACAGTACCCATTCTTGCACAAAACAGATGGCCAGACAGACTTTTGATTATAATCCTCTTAGGAAGCTGGCTTCTTCCACAGAAATTGATAACATTGGGTAATATTTATTGCAGTAATTTTAAAAGTTTCCCTGAAACATTAATACCCTTTGTCTCACTGGCAATTCAGCATAAGTAATATCAAGCAAGAAATATCAAGCTGGAAGGAAAACTGAATACATTATGAAATATTCGCTTGATATCTTCTACATTAATTGAAATGTTCCATATTCACATATGACATATAATAAGATGGGTGCAGAAATTGCCTTTTAGTAAGAAATTAGATGGAAATAAGCCTATCAAGCTTCTCATTTTCTTTACTACATTAAGTGCAAGTATTTTCAACTGAATGAACTCTGGAATATCTATTTTTACAGAATAACTATGTCAGCTTTTAATTGTGTCATTCTGGAGACATGTTTTGGTTGACACAATTTAGTACTGCTAGTCCAACTACTGTTTTTCCTCAGATAGTACCACAACTCCATCTCCTCACCATTGGTGGTGTAACCACCTCCTGAAGTCCCCTCTGCTCAGTCCTCCCAAAATTAGCTGGGCTCAATGCCTATTTCTGAAAGTGCTGACTGGATAGCCAATAAACTGAGTTTAGGCTGCTGCTGTTTCCCTTTGAGGCTGTCAGACATGAGGCTTCTGGAAGCGACAACACTAAATAGCTTTAGACTATGATCACTGTCAGATGCACTTCAAACTATCATGGGGGTCAACAGTGTTTTTGGGGGGACGGAGGAGGAGGGAAAGGTGGATCCCAGACGCTTACGGAAGTATTTCTTCCTCATACAGGTTTTTCACAGGCTAAAATAAATACGTCAGGTCAGGGACTCCTTAGCATTCATGAATTACTGTAGTCCATAGTAAAAATCCCCGCAATTGCTTCTGCGTTTACTGGATTACCTCAACCATTAGACACCAACAAGCCTATTTTAGCGTAAAGTTATACCAAAAGCCACAGAATGGCTGTTATCTTTTTAAGTTGTAACACATCTGATGTTAAGTAGTTCTTCTTGGAAAGCAAAGCCAACTGTCACTTTCTCACACCAAAGATCCAATATTGTGCACAAACTCAGGAGATGTACTGAGTTCAGTAACTTCTGCCACAAAGTAACAAGGTTTCAGTTCAAATACAGCACTTCTGAGAAGATTTTTAACAGTTTAAATTTAAACTCCTCTTAAATTCTACTCTTTACAGAAGACACTTTCAAATATCATTGCATTGTTGAATCAGAAAGTTTTGGGTTTAAAATAAGCAATTTTTATTCGTTTGTCATAACCTGAAGACTTTCTCTACAGCTCTTGTTCTTAAGAACATTATTCCTTGTATCCACTACTTTCACTGAGTTTTAGTTCACTTTTTTCAACTCTTCTGCCTCTACAGGTCAATAACACATTTTAGTTTCAATTATTTTACATAGGAAACTGAATTTTATCTTGGCCAGCAATGAACTTGAGAAATTCACATTTGCATATATCAACATACAACCAAACCCTGCAAAAAATAAAACAAGGTTAGAAACAGTGATATAAATGCAAAACAGCTAGTACTTGTGCAAAATGTCTTAAAACCTCCAAATAATTTTTTTTCCACATAGAAGAAATGCAATTGGTTTTACACTAAGATGATGTCTCTTTCTGCCCTTACCTGCATTGTACATATTGTTGAGCTGTCCTGCAGGCTTAGAGCTCTGTGAAACAGAGGTCACAGATGTCCGAGGCTGAGCATTGTTTCCATAGCCTCCATTTTGTTCCAGGAGCTGAGGAAATTAATACTCACTATGAGTATTTTCTTGCCAATTTAGCCAGCTTGTTACACTTTGTAAATTACTTTTACTTGGTGAGACCAAGCAAGCTGAACCTCAGGAGAAAGCCAGGAAGTTAAGATACATTAACTGATTCACTTGCAGTGTTGTGCAAATTAAGCTAACAGAAGACACCTAAGTGGGTTTCAAGTTAGTGTAGGCAGAGCCTTCGTATACTAGATTTTTCTGTGCAAGTTAATTATGATTAAATGCAGCGTGCCAAACACAGCACTTGTGTACTGGAGAATGACCCAAGATCACAAGAAGTTTTTCGACAAGCAGTAAGAACTACGACTAGTTTTCTTTAATGTCATGCAAGCTCTGTGCTTTAAAAAGCTATTTTCAAAGATCCTACAAGTGATATAGATCAATTCAATTGAATTTCAAAACAAGTTAATGTGAAATATTCAAAAGACTAAGGAACAGGGGACCTGCTCTGACATCTGTTACTAAACTCACACTCACTGGATAAGAGAGGAGAGAGAGTGTCATGGTTTAACCCCAGCCAGCAGCTAAGCACCACACAGCCGCTCGCTCACTCCCCCCCCTTGATGGGATGGGGGAGCAAATCAGAAGGGTAAAAGGGAGAAAACTCATGGGTTGACATAAGAACAGTTTAATAATTGAAGTAAAATAAAATAGAATAGTAGTAATAATAACAACAACGACAATAAAAACAAATAATAATAATACAATAATAATAATATACAAAGCAAGTGATACACTATACAATTCCTCACCACCCGCTGAGCATGACATCATGTGGTATGGAATAGCCCTTTCACCTGTTTGGGTCAGCTGTCCTGGCTGTGCTCCCTCCCAGCTCCTTGTGCACCTGGCAGAGCATGGGAAGCTGAAAAGTCCTTGACTAGTGTAAGCACTACTTAGCAACAGCTTAGCACTACTTAGCAAGAACAAAACATCAGTGTGTTATCAACATTGTTCTCATCCTAAACCCAAAATACAGCACTATACCAGCTACTAAGAAGAAAATTAACTCTATCCCAGCTGCCACCAGGACAGAGAGAAAGGAGACCTAATCAGTAATAGTTCTTATGAGACATCTTTACCTCTGTGATTGGGGATTTAGGATTCACATTCCTAGCTGCTGCAATCTCCTGCAGTTGATTCACAAGTTCAGTGATTGACAATCTCTCCTCTGGGTTCACCTTCAAAGTGAAACCTAAAAAAGGAGATTCAGACAATGTAGCAGATAGCCTTCAGAGCTTTTCTCCCAGCAGAGATCAATAATTTTTTCAGTGCACTCCAGTGCAATAACCAAACACGTGAACAGTGGAGCAACTACTAAATTAGTATCCAAATACCATTGTCATAACAGATATTAATGAAAAAACACCATTTAGGGTTAAAAATATTTTAAAAAATACACTTTGTGATCAGTTAATGAATAACCTCAGAATTAACTTTATATCTAATACTGTTGGAGTTGGAGAGATATTTCTGGCACTGTAATTAAAGTTTCCAGTAATCTATTTGAAATTTAAAGAAAATAGAATTTCTAAAGCAAATTCAAAGAAACCAAATCAAAATGCTAGTCGTTCCTATAAACTAATTCAGACCCTAAGCAAGACAGGCAACAGCATTAAAAACCCAAAAATTTCATTTAAAATTCCAAGTCTTTTGGTAATGGATTAAAATGTTTAATAAAACAAGAAGTTGTTGCAGTTAACTTTTTTCACCATCACGTCAATAACATTTAACTATCAGTAATACAATATTGCAAATAATAAGATGTATAAATAAAGATATCCAATTAAATAACATTGTAAACTTACGAATCAGATCATGAAACACAGAATAGCGGGTGTCATTTTGTGGGATGGCATATTTCCCATTGACTATGCGAAGTTTAGCTCCATCTTCAAATGGATGTTGCCTGAAGCACAGCAAGTACAGGATACAGCCCAGAGCCTACACAGAGATAAAGGCACAAATATTTCATAGAGTCATGGAAAAGACCCTTAAGACCATCAAGTCCAACCACAAACCTAACACTGCCGAGTCCACCATGAAACCATGTCCCTAAGCACCACCTCTACATATCTTTGAAACCCCTCG